TTTCATATGTTAATACTGTGAATGGCTGTTGTTGGTTGACTCCATAAAATGTCATTTCCTTTGAGATCCAAGCTCCTCTTGGCAGGCACTGTGCTTTGACCTGCTATGATTTCTAGGTTACCAGTGCTTAGACTACTATGTTTTACTACAAGCAACAAACTTTTGTGCTTATATTTTTGCACGTACCTGTTGTTTTTTTCTTCTTTATCCCCACTGCTCATCAGAGAGGAGTTGCATTACGTTGACCAAAATAGTTATAAAAGACATAGGCTAATGCTGGGTTATCTGGCATGTGCTTTTGTACATCTATCTTCATGTATAATTTTTTAAAATATTGTTCTAAATGTTAATCTGTGTAATTAGTAGTACAAGGGAATTGACCAAGGGTCCCTGTAATTTGCAAGATTTGTGGTACAACCATCCAGGCAGGCAGCTTGGTCTGAAAAAATGAATGAACATAGATGAGCTGCGAGTGAGGATGTTTCAAGGCTAATCCCAGCTCTTTAATTTTCAGCTGGACCCCATGTAAATCCTTGCTTGTGATTCTGTTTTACCATCTGTTTTGCAGAGACAAATTTAATTGCAGAGAGATGTTCCAAGATTTAGTTATTAGTTGTAAAACATGTCAACAGAGTGATAAAGTTATTCTCAAGCTTAACAAACTGGGAAATGCCTAGTGCTACACTATTCAGTTTCCTTCAGTAGTTTAGATAGCCAGTACCTTTAACCATCTTGCTTCTACCTCTGTACTTGCAGAAGGTGGTGGATGTTTGTCTTGTTTGTTATTTATGAAGCAAAAATACCTTGTTGAAATACTGTGGATCACTCCCAAACTAGATGGGACTTGTCAGCCTGTTTTATCTTCTAACATCTCCTCTCTGCCGGCAGCATTTATCCTTCTGCTCTCTAAGGTTAACACAGCTGGAAATAACCAGTGAGAAAAGCGAGCGTCACCCAGCGCTTTATGCAATGGTGGTTACTTGGTGGTAAAAAGGCAGTTTGAACTCGACAGGCAGCACCTGCGTGGAGATCCCTACATCCTTTAGAACAAAACCAGAGTATTTTTCCCACAAACGAGGGGGGATACTAAACTTTTCTCACAGTCAAAACTATGAAAAATTTGATGCAAAAGAATACTATTATGCTGATACGCGTTAAGTTTATTCAAAGGACTAGGTATTTTAGCCCATGAAACCGAAGGAGCAGTGCAAGAGGAGTGTGGTTGGCGGTGCAATTCCAGGCATTACCTGAAACCGTGAAAGACAACAGTGCCACCTGGCGTTACTGCTTGAATTCCTAGAAAACTGCCCGGAGACAGCATCGCCTATTTCTTTCATTAAAAATCATGTTTTACTAGCAGGATTTTGTCATTTATTGCTGTGGACGGGAACTGAGGGACTACGAAGACGAGGTACCTCGACACAGAACCCCACACGAGAATTTGTTTGGGCTACAGCTCATCAGTTTTCCCCAGATCCCCACAGGGTGGGAGCAGAGTTGTGGGGCCCTTCTTCTCTCACGTCCAGGTGCTACTGCCATTAGATTCCTGTTCACACCGTATTTCGCAAGATTTCACTGAAGCATAACAAAAATACATTTCCAGCACAGGACACCATACGTAAGCAAACACCAGAGCACTTTACAAAAGGGCAGGCTTATGGCAAGCCAGCAAG